GGGACTTTGCTCAGGTTTGACCTCCACAGTAGCGAGAGCTCAAAATCTGAAAATATAGATATACCATATGCCAATTGAGAAAAGTAAAGGATTGTGCTTTTGAGTGGGCTTCCAATCCCTGCAAATAAATGGCCTTATTCTTACTTGCAAAGAATCCATGTAGAATTGCCTAGTTTTAGGTACTGGCTGGAGGAATTCCTCAGGGTCTTCAAGAAGGGAGAAAAATCAGAGGATAAGCATCAATGAGGGAAGAGAAACAACTTTGATTTTGTATGTGAGTTGATTTTAAAGCTTAGGCATATACATCTGTGGCCTTTCCTAGCTGGTACCTTATATATGGCCTAAAGACAATTGGAAGCTGAATATAATCAGCCATGGGAAACTGCCAACAAATACCAGGAGCTGTAGACAATACAGTCATTCCTCCACATTCACTGGGGTTGATGTAATACAATTATCTGGTTGCTACTGACACGATAAATAAAATAAATAAATACTTGGGTTAAGAGCACAGACAGAGGTGGCTCTAGGTAATTTTCAATGGTAAGCAAACAGTATTTTGGCGCCGCCCCTCCCAACCAATCACTGATATATATTTTCTGTTTGTCGTGGGAGTTCTGTGTGCCATATTTGGTTCAATTCCATCATTGGTGGAGTTCAGAATGCTCTTTGATTGTAGGTGAACTATACATCCCAGTAATTACAACTCGCATATGTCAAGGTCTGTTTCCCCCCAAGAGCACCTCAAGAGCACCCCTTGGCAAAGTCAACTATACTGCAAATGCTTACTTTGCATAATGGGTTGAGCCGCCCCTGAGCACAGACCCTGGTAAAAGTGAAGAACTTTGAAAAATGGCTGTTAAAAAACCTAGAGTAATATATCTAGGAATTTCTAGGTCTTCCATCACAACTCTATAGTCATCTTCCACTGGAATCAGGCCAAGTTGCATTGGAGGACACAGAGATTTCCAGGTCAATTTCTCAGCTTGGGAGTCCTCCTGGATTCATAACTGAGCCTGGAACCCCAGATCTCGGTGGTGGCCAGGGGAGCCTTTGCATAGTTAAAGCTAGTGTGCCAGCTGCATCCGTACTTGAGAAGTCTGTTTGGAAACTCCAACTATTCCAGTGAGAGGTAGCCAGTTTAATGACTGGAGCAACATACAAGGAGCACACCAACCCCCTGTTGTGTCAGCTCCAGTGGCTGCCGGTCCACTTCTGAGCACAATTCAAAGTGCTGGACTTGGTCTATAACACCCTATATGGTTCTGTCCCAGCTTACTTGTCTGAATGTATCTCCCTCTATGTCTTGCCTCGGAGTTTAAGATCGTCCGGGAAAGCCCTGCTCACAATCTTCGCAAATACGTTTTGTGGGGACGAGAGACAGGACCTTCTCGGTGGTGGCCCCCCACTTGTGGAACACACTCCCCAGATAAATTAGGTCAGCTCCATCCCTCCTTTCTTTTAGGAAGAAGCTCAAAACACAGTTTGGGACCAGGCATTTGGATAACAGGCTTGACAGCAATCACAATGTTTTAGAACTGACTATGAATAGGCTTTGGACTGGGTCATTGGTTGCTGAATCGGACTTGCATGCTAGAAGAGCTAGACATCTCTAGCATGCCTAGAGGAAGTTGGCCATACCTGGAGGATCTTGAAATTTCTAGATATGTTATTTTTAGTCAAATCCATGAATAATCAAATCTGCAAAAGTCAAAACTGCAGATGTGGAGGAATGGCTATTTCAGAGGAAGGAGCTGGCTTAAAACCACGTCTTAGTATTCCTTAGCGAAGAAAACTTTTTGTATTTCATAAGATTGCCATAACTCAATAGGTGACTCAAACACACACCCTGTATAGATGCAAATCTGAAATAGAAAAAAAATCTAATTTAATATGCCATCTTTTGACCTCTTCTGGTAGTGCATTTCTTTGTTTTTAGCTATTAGAAAGTGGACATAGTAATAGTGTAGTTCTGGTTGCTTTCCTCTTTACTTACATGGGGATAACTTAGGACAGGTTCTACCCTAACACATTTTACACATCAAAAAGGAAAACAACCAGAAAAAAATGAAGATATAGGTGTCCAATAGTTCAAAGACAGAAAAATAGAAGTGAACCTTAAGAAGATACTTAAATACAAATGGCATTCAATTTTTTTGGCATCTTTCTGGTGATAGGGTTTTACGTTTTAATGTCACATATATAGCACCCAATGAACCATCAACCCTTTGTGTGAAGTTCTTATTTAAATGCTGCTAAGAGGAAAGCAAAGACAAATCAGCTCTGAACAATCATCCTGTGTTTCTTTAGGTTTGCAATAACCACAAGCAACAATGGAATATAAGCCAGTTTAGCATGTTTTCTATGAAACTTCTCACAAGGTGATCGAAAGAGTTCTTTCTTGTTTCTTCTTGTAGCATATTTCATTCAGCTTGCTCCTCACAATCCCTCAAGTATTAGGAAAACATCTACTGTTTATTCAAAATGTTTATTTGACATGTCAGCTTATTTGTAAATTTAAAGAAATCATGCCTCTGAATTTTGTTATGTAGGTGCAAAGAATACACAAACACTCTTATTTTCAAAGCTATGAAGGGCTGCATTACTTATAAGAGTGAGGCATTTTGTTAGGGATTACTTTTTTTGAAAAATCTTCTCTGCCTGGTTCTTCTGTAGATTGGCTGAAAGGTTGGAAAAACTAATTTTAAGGATTATTGGAGACCTGCTGACTTGACTGATTTGAATTTTTGCTCTGAATGCATGGATTTACTTTTGGTTGTATTGCTGCTCCATTATTTATTCTTCTATAATAAAATGCCAAATGCCATCAGAAAATGTCTACATGTGGGATTGAATCTGTTGTTAGTCCGAATTGAGTAGACCCATAGAAATGAATGGTATCTGGTGGCGGATAACTTACGGTACATACATCTGATTGATTTCAGTGGCTACTTTTATATTGGACCAAATATTGGGTAGGCTTTCTTAAAAACTGAAGATGCGAAACAGATATTTCATTGATTGTGAAAGAGATATTTATGCTACAGGAACTAACTTACTTACTTACTTAGGTGATCCCTCATTGTCCTAGTACGATAGTCTTCCAAGTGTAGCGTCTTGGTGGTGGATATGTAGGTGAGTGTGGAGCCCTATGCTTGATTTGCATATTCTTCCACAGTGAGGGTATTGGTTTCAGGGTTGGCTTAACACCTTCCTCTTGGCACGTTTCTCCCTTTCACCCTCCATTTGCGCCTTGTCAAATTCCACAGCACTGCTGGTTGCAGCTGACCTCTCAAGGGCAGGGCATTTCCTAGTTCTTGGTGTCTATGCCACAGTTTTGAAGGTTAGCTTTAAGCCCATCTTTAAATCTTTTTTATTGTCCACCAACATTTCATTTTCTGTTCTTGAATTAGGAGTATACTAATTGCTTTGGGAGATGGTGATCAGGCATTCGGACAAACTTCCTGCTACAGGAAATGTCTTAAGTAATATTCTTTGACATCTGAAAGTTGAACAGCTTGTATGGTCAGGAAGTTTTTCCTCATGTTCAGGTGGAATCTCCTTTCCTGTAGTTTGAAGCCATTGTTCCATTGCATCCTAGTCTCCGGGGCAACAGAAAACAAGCTTGCTCCCTCTGCACTGTGACTTCCCCTCACATATTTATACATGGCCATCATGTTTCCTCCCAACCTTCTCTTCTGCAGGCTAAACATGCCCAGCTCTTTAAGCCACTCTTCATAGGGCTTGTTTTCCAAACCCTTGATCATTTTAGTCGCCCTCCTCTGGACATATTCCAGCTCGTCAAAGTCTCCCTTGAAATGTGGTGTTCAGAAATGGACAAAATATTCCAGGTGTTGTCTGATATATTTGGAAATATACAATTTTAAAAACTAATGTTGCATATATGTTTCTAGCACTTGAAAATATTTATAGATTCCCCAGTACCAAGCTCCATGTGAAAAATAAAGCACTTCTGCTCTTTAAAGACATGCTTGACTTCAGTTACATGGTTTAATTCTTGCAGTCCTCCTTAAGTTTTATGCTATGATATATAGCAGGCATCCCCAAACTCCGGCCCTCCAGCTGTTTGGACCTCCAACTCTCAGAATTCTTAACAATTGAACAAGCTTGTTAGGGCTTCTGGGAGTTGGAGGCCCAAATAGCTGGAGGGCCGCAGTTTGAGGATTCCTGATATATAGTCTCGGTTTTCTGGACTCTTGGGACTTTATTTCACAAGGCAAGCAAATGACATGACAGTGTATGCATTCTGCTGTCATACACCCTGCTTCACCCCCCCCCCCACCCCGATTCTACTGTTGCTAGCAGTTAACAGATAAAACCCATTAATAGTTCCCAATCATGCAAAAGTCATATCACCTACCTTAGGGTGATGGGTCACTTCTGCTTCTTTCTTATATACTGGCAGTAAAGTGACATCAGGGGGTGATATTCTCTCCCTCCCCCCCTCCCCCGCTCACTATTTGTATGTTGCTGTTTTGCTTTCCTTTTATATTTATATTGGCTTTTTAAAATGCTGCAATTGCACAATTGTGCTAAAAATACATTAAAATTTAAGGAACAACAGTACTGCAGTGTGGGAAGGAAAGATTATAAGGGTATGTGAAAGTACAATTACGGAAACACAAATTAATGAATCGGTGCAATTGTGCTAATGGAAAGAGGCGTGATATAGAGGGTGCTCAATCCAGTGAAATAGCGGGTTCATGTGATAAAGCCCTTGGTCAGGCTTTAGTCTTATTTCTTACCCCCCAACTCTATTATCATTTAAAGTGTTGTAGAGTGTATGGTGCTGGAAGAATAGTATTGCCAGGTATAGATAATATGTACCCGTTTGTGGGCATCATGCCACATGGAGTAGTGATATTAGTATGACTGAGTTTCTTTTTTTCTTTTCTTTTCTTGATAAACCTGCTCTAACTAAACATTCATAAAACTTCACATTAGTCATTCCTTTCTTATGATTTCTTTTTCTCTCACAGAGTTGGCATTCATTATCACCACACTCCTGGCAAGCCTCAACAGCTGTTGTAACCCTTGGATCTACATGCTTTTCACGGGTCATCTCTTCCATGACCTTTTACACCGGTTTCTCTGCTGTTCCTCACGGTATTTAAAATCCCGGCAAGGATGTGACCTGAGTGTCAGCAAGAAGAGCAACTCTTCTACCTTCGTCCTGAGTCTCAAAAGCTCCAGTCAAAGAAGTTTCACCCAGCCATCCACAGCATGAAGAGGAGGGCTCTCCTGTCCAGCTCTCCATGTCTGTCTGGCTCCCCATGAACTCTGCCATAATGAGCCGGATAGACAGTGTGTACATATTTAAAATTGAGAGGCTAAGATATACAAGATTGTTTGGATGTAAATACAAATATACATACAAATATACATACTATATAGATACAATGTATTTTAAATGTATTGTGTATGGGGATTATTTGTTATTTAACAGAGAGACATGATAGAAGAAAGTTGACTATAGTCTAAATAATCTTTCAGGCTAGAATCCTCCATAGCTATATCTCCCCCTAAAACTGTCTTTTAAGTGTCACAACTCCCACATCAGTGTCATTTCCATGTTTTTAGAGAGCAGGGGGACCAGTAAAAGTGCATCCAGCTATTTTTCTGGATCTGGATTAGCTGCAACAGGCATTCATAGGGACTGCTGGGGGTCCTCAGGAGGTCCCTGCAGATGGTGTGCTTTTAGAACATCAAGCTACAGGAAAATAGATGGAGATGCCTCACCTGATGCCACCTCTCCCTTCTACTTTCAAATGATAGAAATATAGTAGACTCTCAATTATCCAACATAAAGAGGCCGGCAGAACATTGGATAAGAGAAAATGTTGAATAAGGAGGGATTAAGGAAAAACCTATTAAACATCAAATTACATTATGATTTTACAAATTAAGCACCAAAACATCATGTTTTACAACAAATCGAAAGAAAAAGTAGTTCAATACATGGTCATGTTATGAAGTAATTACTGTATTTACAAATTTATCACCAAAACATCATTCTGTATTATCCATCATAGTCTGTCTCCCACCCAGATCTACAGCTGTGGATCTGGGTGGGAGGCAGACTGTTCTGGATAATACAGAATGTTGGATGAGTGAAGGCTGGATAAGTGAGACTCTACTGTAGATGTGTTATAACATCTGCTTTACTTTTAAAAGGTGGGTTCTGAGTATGGATTTTGATTGTTGTTTATTCGCAAAGAATTTTAGCCTCTCTCCAAAATGAAACTAACTTGCGATCACAAAATTCTAACCATTTTATTTTTCAAAGACATCTTGGTTTCTTCAAGTCAGCGAAGGCACAAGTGTAGCATCAGGCTTCATGTATAAAGAATATGAAGGAGTGAAGAAAAGCTTGTAAAATATGGAGGGTTTTTTGCCACATCTTAAGTGGTTCTGCTCTAAAGAAGCTCAGTTCATAGCCTGATATGGTACAGACCTGGAGACACTTTTACTGTTTTTATGACGAGCTCTGTTGCTTTTAAAGGCAAGAACTTTTTAATGATTGGAAATGAGTCTGCAGATATTTTAATTTTTCATTTATCTGCATTTCAGCAGGTGTTCACCTTTGCATTGTAAATTAATGGAAAGGATGCAATAGGACAGACATTTAGAAATGAATAAATCATGCTAATATTGGAATAGTTTGCTTGGTTGAAAGGCGTATCCAAGCAACAGTTTCAAATAGACATGAACCTTGTGGTGATAACTCCAAAGCACTACAATTTAGAGTTATCAGATAAGTAGGATTTGCTTCAGAAATCTGTCTTTCACCCTTTCAGTGAATGAAGAATCATATTTGTAAGTGTGTTTGCATCACATAAGGTCAAAGCTCATAAAAAGTAATTTGCCTGAGGAAATGCCCAGTTATGACTCCATAACTGCAGTAGAGGATGCCAGCCATCATATTAGAATCTATTCAAAGACTGGGAGAAAAACCAAACCAAACCAAACAGGGGCTTGAGAGCTTCTCCTTCTTGGAGTTCCCAGACACTCAAAAAGCTCATTTCTCATTTTCCTCCCTTCTTCAAATGTTTTTCCATCTTTCTGTAGATACAAGTTGTTATTTTATAGAGAACAAGTTGCTATTCGATATGTTGGGGGTGGGACAGTCCCCATTTTGCTCATGGTTTCTCAGACTCCAACTCTTTATATATAGAAATTGTTGACTACATTTAAGATGAATTCTTATATTACTGTAGATAGCTTTGATGAATATTATGCAGATATAATTTCTTTGCTGTGTAAGTCATGCAACTGCGTCAAGAAAAGATTTTATGTAAATAAAAGAAGAAAACACACCAAATAAAAGAAATTGATGGAAACCTAAGAAAAATGAACTGTGTCAGAATGTATGTGTAAAGCCAATATAAAACTGTAAGAGCTATGCATGGGGTTTGGATAGTGGTGGGATATGGTATAGTCCTTCTGATTGTAGCAGTAAAGGAGAAAAGTGAGGGATTCACAAGGGAAAAAATGGGGCAAAAAGCAAAACTGCATCGTTTGTCTTTGGTTTAGAGGTTAATGTAATGTCTATTTGGTGTAGCCAATTATAGCGCTGTCATTCCACATAATTTGAAATTCAAGAGTTGGTAGTTTAGGGAGGGGTTTTTAAAGACTCAGCCAGATAGCTCCCCTAGAATCTCACCAAATTACAAATCCTGGCAGCTAAAAAGTGGAATAATAATGCTATACTTCTGTAATATAGGCCTGTGGTCACCCAATATGCCAGCCAATGTTAAACAGTGTTGTTTCTATGTGTATCTGTGTTGATTTCAAAGTTTTGAAAAGTTTTCATTTGGCTGACAACCCCAGAATCTACTGGCCAGATGTGTAGGGACCATGATAGAAAGAGAGTTGTCATTCATAAAATATTTTTCCACACTCTGGCAGATTACATGAAAGGAAATATCAGGTGTGCCTTCAGCTGCAATGTGTGCTCTGTCTGCCCAGATATAGATTATTTTTTTTATTTCTGATAAGACTATTCACTTAACAGATTCAGCATTCTTTGCAAATTAGACACATTTAGTATGATACAGTAAGTTTATGGTTACTCTTGGCTGTTTTTCTATCTTGAGTATAATTTTCATTGGTGAGGCCTGATGTCTCTCAACATTTCTATCAGTTGGCCTCCTAGACCATCAAGTCTGTCCTAGAAGAAACTTCAGGTATGCCCGCAAATAGTAAACAGTTGCGTGCTCTGAAATTCAGAGCATGTTTTGGGTTTTTCCTACTTGAAAAATAAAGTCCCAGCTGTTGCATTTGCTCATTTTCAAGATTCTTCTTAATTATCATGTTCATAGCATATGAATATCCTTGCCAGTTGGAAAAAGCAGAATGATCACAGAGTAACTGCCATTTAGTATGCCAGATCATTCAATATTCAGTTACAGCCTTCGTACCTTTGTTACCAAGTCAGGTTTGCTTGTGGAACACTCCCTCCTAACTGAATTGAAGAAGAATGAAGCATGTCCAATATTACCTCATAAGCATTATGGGTCCACAATAACCAATATGGAATCTAGAAAAACTAGTTGCATCCTCCTCTGGCAGCATTCAGAGATAGAAAATTTAATAAAAAAAGAGCCACCAGCTTAACTACTAATATGCTATAAAATAATATAAAAACTATTATATCAAGATAGCTTTTTAATTAAATATTTGCACTATTTTTCTTATCAGAATAAAGCTAATAATTCCATCTGTGATTTAATTCTACCTTCCCACTTGGTCATCTGTGTTTTGAACACAGCAGAGAAACAATCAGATCGATTTATGAAACCTATTTTTATGTATTCCACCAGGATTTTTTTTTACTTCTCTCTTCTTCCTCCATTAGAATCTCATCTCTTCTTTTTTCTACTTTCTTAAGGCTATACTTTGCCACAAGAATCCCAGCCAAATCCACAGGGTTAAGAGCTTCAAAATTCAGTGTCCTGGAACAAGTGAGGAAGATCAACGACCTTATCAGATGCAGCGAGGAAGCATTTTCTTTCTGCTTCTTTTCACTGCCAGCACAGAGTCCCCTGGAGTCCATCACATGACACAGCGCTACTTCAAGTGGGACTCTGTGGAGCTCTGTGCCAGCGGAATTTAAGCAGTGGAGCCCAGAGGAGTCGGGTATACACCTGACTCCTCATTAAAGAACAGGAGAGGAGCTAAAAACGTGGGGAGGCAGAGGATGGATCCTGATGTAAGGGAACAGAATCTGACAGTTCACTGCCCCATGGTTTTCCCCATTTTCCCCACATTTTCCCATTACCCATTATCACACTGTAATTGTGAAATAAAATAAAGATTCCTATAGTCATTTTCATTTATTCAGATTCTTTGTTATCTTGTTCTTTTTTGGATTGGGGGTGTTAACTATACATAGATTTAAGCTGTTTCCACAGTTCTGGAAGTTTTCCAGATATTATAGATTTAAAGAAATGTCCAGTTTCAGTAGTATGGATCCTATGCATTGGATGCATCCACATTGTAGACTTACTTAAGTTTGACACCACTTTAACTGTCATGTCTCAATGCAATGGAAACACAAGAGTGTAATTTTACAAAATATTTAGTATTCTTTGTCAAAGAGTGCTGATGCCTCACCAAACTACAATGCCCATGATTCCATAGCAATGAACCATAGCAGTCAAAATGGTGTCAAACTGCTTTGACCCAACAGTGTAGAAGCACTCATTGTTTGGAAGTGAGGAAAATTGGGAGAGCAGAATTTATTGAAGCTTCTAATCTCAAAAACCCTTCATGCAGTTTAACCACAACTGCCTTTGAATGAGTGAGTTATCTTCTGGCGTAAACATTTGAATACATCAGTCCTGAGTACTGACAAAAAACAAGAAGTAGTTTTGCAAAAATACAAGAGAACTAGTTGGGAAATGTAAAATCTATTGGCTCTTCACAATTCCTTTGCATTTATTTAATTACACTACTACACACATATTTAATAGCAAACTAATTATAATATTTTGAATCCGAACATGTGCCAAAATGACAGTGTAATCACTGCAGTTAAAAAATAGATTTACTTACATTGCCTCTTTTTATTTGAAAGTTTCTAATGTAATTGATAATGTAAGTCCTGCTAATTAATAGTATAATTAGATTGGAGTGAGGCGATAGTCGATAGTGTGTGGAAGAGATTCTTACATGTATTCTGTAAATAGTCTCTCTGAGCTGTCTTATAAATTAGCTAAACTTAGCTAAATTAATTTTGACTTATTCTATATTTTGCATATTAAGATGGGCAATGTCTCAACTGTCACAGAGGTCTGATATGCAGCAAAAATCTGCATTTCTTTTAGCGATCAGCATGAAAACAGCTGGTTCATTACTAACTGAATCTGAAATAACCACTCACAGGCTTTCAGAAAAGGAGGAGCAAAATGTTTGGCTTGACATAATTCAAGTGTGCGTTTTTGAGATACCACTATAGCAAAAACTGATTGTTGTAGGGATGATGGGGATTAATTAATGAAATTTCTAAGTCTTAATCAAAAGAATCCTGGCATCCATGCTGCCCCGCTGATCCACTCAGTTCAATAGAATAGATCCACATTCTTACAAGAGCTTATGAGGTCTTCAAAGGTCACTGTAGCGTCTTTGGAACCCACAAGTCGGAGACCTGTAAATCTAGTCCCAATGGAACAGCTGTGTTGTTTCCTAGCTCTACTCTCCAGTTATAATCCCACAATATCTATACCACAATAAAATTATTAATTTGCTTTCTGCCTTCTCAGCCGATCCATGATCTTGGGTACATAAATATAAACCGCACAATGAGGACTGTCATAAAACACTATTCATTTCATGAAGTGACTCACTACTTTTTACTGCAACCATAAGCAATAAGAGGATTGTGGTCTTTGGGAAGCATAAGCCAAAATGAGAGCACATTAATTTCCAAGGCTATTTTGTGGCTC